TAATTAAAGAAGAGCTAAAAAATAGATACACTAGTAAACCATTTAATACTTTGGAAATCAGTGAAAGATTATCAAAACTAAATCTTAGTAAATCTGCTGGTATAGATGTTCCAAATGATATTTAACGAATATTTGTTTTTTTTTTTTTATTCTTTTGCTAAATCTTTTTTTATGTATGGAATAAATTATATCATTTAAATTATTTAAAAATATACAGTATTAAAAATATTTAAAATTTTCTAAACCAATTCTATAATTTGGTAACGTTCATCGTCGAACTAACTAAACTAGTTTATATAGCCAAACTAATATAGGTGGCATTGTTAAACTGCTCATGAATTTTTATAATTTTTATATTTTTTAAAAAGGCTTTTTTTATTTTTATTTTTTATGAATAGCGTATAAAATCAAGGAGGGCTTTTTAAGTAAATCTAATATTGTAAAACCGGGATTAGTAAAAAAATAATGTTGTTTCAAAGTTAACAAATAATTGACGCAATTTTGCCATGTTGAATTATAAATCGGAAATAAAATAAAATAAGATTCTCTGATTTTAGCTTTGATGGTACTTAAAGTGGGCATAATTTTATTAAAATAAATATCCGATCTTGTAAAAACTCATATACCTTCCCAAATTTTGTCCAGCATTAAGCTTAGTGCAGGTAAGACATTATTTTAATTTTGGAATTGATTGGCTAGACATATTCATTTGAACAAAACAAGCTATTTAACTAGGTTTATTTAAATTTATTTAAATACAACTTAGCACAGGTTGAACATATAAATAATAAAATAAAAAACTCCTAATATGCATTTATATGCTACCATAGGTTTACCAAATAACTGTAACGTATTAGTGTATATTTGATAACTAATACTAAAATATAAGGGCAAAGTATTAGCAATTTATCAGTAATCTCAATATTTTACTCACATATTTATTAAACAGTAAACACTTTTAATACAACTAGTATTTTCAAATATCCATATAACAACATGACATCTTCAAATACGAATGAACTAAACTATCTTTTCGTTTTACTAAGATATATTCATAAATATTCAAAAAAGTTTATGAAGACAATTGTTTTCTTATTTTATAGTAAATTTTTTCTCGTTTTCTTAATGCAAATAAATTGTTTGGCTCGATCTTTAATGATTTATTTAAATCCTCAAAAGATTTCTTATATTCATTCATATGATAATAAACTATCCCACGCAACCTTAATGAACATGCATTATTTGGATCAATTTTCAATGATTTGTTGAAATCATCAAGCGACTCCTTGTATTTTTTCATCATGAGATAACATTCTCCACGATTATGTAAGGCCATTGCATCAGTTGGCGCAAGCTCTATAGATTTATTTAAATCTGCAAGTGATTTTTTATGCTCATTCAATTTCAGTTGCGTTGCTGCACGATACTTTAGAGCTATTACATCATTTGGTTCAATTTCCAGTGATTTGTTGAAATCATCAAGCGATTTTTCATAATCATTCATCTTTAAATACATTGTTCCACGATTTTTTAATGCCGCTGTATTATTGGGTTCCAGTTTTAAAGGTTTATTTAAATCTGCAATTAATTTTTTAGATTCATTAAGCTTAAAGTAGACTTTTCCGCGATTTTTTAAAGTTAATACATCATTTGGATAAAGTTCTAAAGATTTATTAAAGTCTGCCAGCGATTCTTTAAATTTTCTGATCTTATAGTAAATCGTGCCACGTTCTTTTAATGCAAATACATCATTTGGCTCTATTTTGAGGAATTTATTTAAGTCTGCAAGCGATTCTTTGTACTTTCCTAAAATATGATAAGATACTCCACGCATTTTTAGTGCCTCTGTATCATTGGGTTCATGTTTTAAAGATTTATTTAAATCTGTAATTGATTTATTATGTTCATTTATCTTAAAGTAAACTCTTCCACGAATTTTTAGAGCTAATACATCATTTGGATCAAGTTTTAAGGATTTATTCAAATCTGCCAGTGATTCTTTATATTTTGTGATCTTATAATAAATTGTACCGCGTTCTCTTAATGCAAATCCATCATTTGATTCCATTTTAAGGATTTTATTTAAGTCTGCAAGCGATTCTTTGTGCTTTTCTAACATATTATATGATGCTCCGCGAATCTTTAATGTAAATAGTTCGTTTGGCTTCATTTTGAGTAAATTATTTAAATCTGTAATCGATTCATCATACATTCTCAATTTATAGTATATTTCTCCGCGCTGCCTTAGTGCAAATACATCATTTGGTTTAAATTCTAGTAATTTATTTAAAATTTCAAGAGATTTATAATATTTTTTCATATGATAATAAACTAGCCCACACTGACTTAATGCAAGTGTATTATTTGGATTCATTTCCAATAATTTGCTGAAATCACCAAGTGACTCTTCATATCTTTCCATCATTAAATAGCATTTACCACGATTAAATATGGCTATTGCATTACTTGAATCGATTTGCAGCAATTTGTTGAAATCACCAAGTGACTCCTCATATCTTTCCATAATGAAGTAGCATTCTCCACGATTATATAGAGTTATTGCATCGTTTGGTGCAAGGTCTAAAGATTTCTTTAAATCTACAAGAGATTTTTTATGTTGATTCAAATTTAGAAATATTATTCCACGATATTTTAAAGCTATTGCATCATTTGGTTCGAGTTCTAGAGATTTATTTAAATCAGCAAGTGATTTTTTATGCGCATTCAATTTGAAATATGCTATTCCACGATTTTTTAAAATTATTGCATCATTTGGTCCATATTCAAGAAATTTATTTAGATCTTGAAGTGATTCTTTATACTTTTTCATATTACAATAAATAATTCCTCTAAGTCTTAATGTCCATAGATTATCTGGCTGAAATTCCAAAAATCTATTTAAATCTGTTAATGAGTTCTCATATTTTTCCATCACATAAAATATTTCGCCACGTCGCCTTATTGTACAAACATTATTTGGATCAATTTCCAGTAATTTATTAATATCACCAAGCGACTCCTCATGTCTTTCAACCATGAAGTAGCATTCTCCACGATTATGTAGGGCTATTGCATCATTTGGTGCAAGCTCTAGTGATTTAGTTAAATCTTCAAGTGATTTTTCATACTCATTCAATTTCAAATATGTTGCTCCACGATATTTTAGAGCTATTGCATCATTTGGTTCAAGTTCTAAAGATTTATTTAAATCAGAGAGGGATTTTTTATACTCATCTAATTTCAGATATGCTATTCCACGATTTTTTAAAGTCATTACATTATTTGGTTCGAGGTCTAAAGATTTATTTAAATCTGTAAGTGATTTTATATACTCATTCAATTTCAGATATGTTGCTCCGCGATTGTTTAGGGCAATTGCATCATTTGGTGCCATTTCTAAGAATTTATTTAAATCTGCGAGTGATCTTTCATACTCTTTCATATTATAATGAATGATTCCTCTGAGTCTTAATGCCCATATATTATCTGGTTGAATTTCTAATAATCTATTTAAATTTGTTAATGAGCCATCATACATTTTCATCATATAAAGGGTCTCACTACGTTGCCTTAATTCACAAACATTAGTTGGATCTTTGTTTAAAGATGTAACTTTATCTTCAAGTGATTTTATATAATATAACGATGCTTCAAAGGCTTTTAATGTAGAAAATTGTTCATTGTATTCTAAATTAAACAATTTATATAAAAATGTACATGTAATGTCATAAATTTTTAATGAATGTACATTATTTGGTTCAATTACTAGTAAATTACTTAAATTTGCCAGTGATTTAAATGATTTATAATATTCTTTTGTATAATAATAAGCTAATACACATTGACTTAATGCGTGTGCATTATTTGGATCAGTTTCCAGTAATTTGTTGAAATCACTAAGTGACTCTTCATATCTTTCTATCATGAAATAGCATTTACCACGATTAAATATGGATGTTGCGTTATTTGGATCAATTTCCAGCAATTTGTTGAAATCACAAAGTGACTCCTCATATCGTTCCATCATGAAGTAGCATTCTCCACGACAATATAAGGCTGTTGCATCATTCGGTGAAAGGGTTAAATATTTCCCTAAATCCTCAAGTGATTTTTCATGTTTTTTCAATTTCAGATATGTTATTCCACGATATTTTAGAGCTATTGTATCACTTGGTTCAAGTTCTATAGATTTATTTAGATCAGCAAGTGATTTTTTATGATTATCCAATTTCAAATATGCTATTCCACGATTTTTTAAAGCTGTTACATCATTTGGTTGATGTTCAAGAAATTTATTTAAATCTGGAAGTGATTCCTTATACTTCTTCAATTTTAGATATGCTGCTCCACGATTTTTTAGAGCCATTATATCGTTTGGTTCAAGTTCTAGAGATTTATTTAAATCTGCAAGTGATTTTTTATATTCTTTTAATTCCAGATATGCTGCACCCCGATTATGTAGGACTATTGCATCATTTGGTACAAATTCTAGGAATTTATTTAAATCTGGAAGTGATTCTTTATACTGTTTCATATTGCAATAAATAATTCCTCTAAGTCTTGATGACCATATATTATTAGGTTGAATTTCCAATGATCTATTTAAGTCTGCTAATGAGTCCTCATACTTTTCCATCATATAAAAAACTTCACCACGTTGGCTTAATGCACATACATTATTTGGATCAATTTTTAAAGATGAATTTAAATCTTCAAGTGATTTTATATAGTTTTTCATATTGAAAAAAGTTACTCCACGTTGAATTATAGCCCACATATTATCCGGATTAATTGTTAATAAACTATCAAAAAATGATACTAATTCATTATATCTATCTGACCAAATGTCCGGTTTAAAATAGGTATAAGGTTGTTTATTTAATATATTGATTTTAAGAGATGGAAAATTTTTTACTAATTTTTCTTTATTATCATTTGAAAGATTCGGCCAATTTTGTTGATATAAAACAAAATTGCTAATTTGATCATTTTTATAAAAAATTTGTTCAAACACTTGTTTTAACTGATTAACTTCAGGTCGAAGATTGCCATGTCCATTAAAATATAACTGGATTATAGAATTTTTAAGGTTATTGAATGGCATGTTGGTAAAAAGAAAAAGTGCACAATATGGATGAATTCTATAGTCAATATGTATTTCGAGTTTTTTTAACTGGTTTTTAGTATGAAGGATTAAAGCAAGTTGTTCTAACGTATAAATTGGTGCTTTTAAATATTTTAAATTCATTGTACACTCAGCAATATTTTTGATAAGTTGGATATAGTCAGTGCGATCATTATAATGCCATTGCCAATCAAAGGTAACATTTTCAATAGTTTTACCATTCATTTTGATGAGACTGGATAATATTTCAATAGGTGGTGCATTACCGATAATGGGGTAACTTCCATAAGTATACTCTAGAGATGTTAAATTCCGGAATATGGAATTAATAGGAAAGTAGATAAGTCCTTCACAGTGTTTAAACTTTAGTTCAGTAATATTTGTGCATTGACTAAGTGAAGAAATAGCTTTCTCATTTAATTGAAATGTGGTATATCTAAATATTGCATTAACACCTAAATTACTATGATGCATGTTTTTGAATGTTAAGCTATTAAGCGATCGTGTTTGACTTTGAAGAGATTGAACAGAAAATGATGCAAAGATATTACTATTTACTAGAGAAAATTTTTTTAAACATCTTTGAGAGCTTATAAGATTCGCAAGTGCAATTCCTTCTTCTTTACACCTTACGGTAGCCTTTAGATTTCTAATATTATGACAGCTTTTTGCTAATTCATTAAAGATCTGGGCTTTTTGGACTTTTTGGGCTTCATTAACCTCCCAATTATATGTGCAATTTAAATATGACAATCTATTAAATATTGAGGAGTAATCAAGAAGAACTCTATAAGCTATTAATCCATTGAAGTTGAGATGTAGATGGCTAAGATCAAACCGACGTAACTTTACTAAATGCATCTGAAAATTTTTAAATAATTCAACTATCTGTGTTTCAGTGCAATTGTTTGCTATAACAGAATTTAGAAATCGGTAAAATGGGAGTTCTTTGAGAAATGATGGGTAATCATAAAGTGGTCTGTTAAATAAAGGATCGTTATGAGAATTCTCAGTTTGTATGAATGTGAGATAGATTTGAATCACTTTAGGTAATAGATTATATTCATCATTGATTTTAAAAGGAGATTCCCATAGAATTGGTACGGCACAATTAGCCCAATATCTATTGACTAAAATACAGGAATATAAATCTTTGTTGGTTGGAAGGTACCTAAAAATAATATAGAAATATTCTGATGCAAGCATTTGATCTATAGTACCAGATTTATGTTTGATGTTATTTTTTTCTTGATTGATTAAACTCATTTTTTTTTAACGTTATCTTTAAATGTTCCAAAAAAGAATAAATAAAAAGAGAGAAATACGATGTAAAAAAATGTAAAAACTTAAAAGTATGAGATAAATAACTTATTTAAGGTTTAGTAACTCATTTTGTTCTTGGCGTATTATTTGCATGCATATTGATATTCTGGATTTATCGCAGTGATGCTTCAACATTTACATCACTGACATCTCATTTAGCTGACATAACGTAAAGATAGGGTTATTTTCTTATTTTTTGAGTAATGATTTTTTGGTGGAACCAGATTTCCGAGCATTATGTTGACAACTAAGGAAATATTAATTTTAATATCTATAAGAGCGGAGTTTTATCTTTATGTGCAACATAACACGGACCCAAAAATGTAAGATCCTAGCGTCACCAACTAAAATTTTGGCATTAGTATTGGTGTTGGGGTTTGGATGCATTTTTGTTTAATTTTATGTTACACCTCAGAAGTTAAAATAATTTCTCTTTATTAATTTACTAAATTTAGGGCACTGGTTGGCTCACGATGATAGAACTTCAATAACCATGTATATTTATATTTACGGACATCCTAATTTTTTATATCCGAAGATTTATACGAATTTGTATAATAACTTCTGATGATCAAAATACCGGATGTTCGTGTATCTTTATAATTCAATTATGGGTTTTTGCGTTCTAACATTTTTGATTGGTCGAATCCGAAAATTTTGACCTGAATGTGGGATAATTTACTGTGTAATACGTAAGATAATTATGACGATTTTCACGTAAAAATCGAGATAGAGTTATGCATTAACTATGGGATTCGTTAACTAGGATATGAATTACGTTAATAAAATGCATTAGGAAACTATATCCTATATATCACTGGAATACTAAGGTTTGTAAAGATCTTTAACAGAATATATTACAATGTGTTACGGAATAGCAAGTGTTGTAATAGAATTTTTTGAGGTAATCTACAATAGAAATCACAGCTCATGATTTACTTTACTGCATACTGGGTGTCACTGGAATTACAAGTAAGTTTTGCAATAGAATTTTTTATGGTAATTCTAATACAAACTAACCCATGCTTAATTGCATACTGTGATCGCCGAAATAACAAGTGTTCTGTAGTATGATGTTTTACGGTAATAACTCAACTTTAGAATTTTTCAAAGCAATACCAATGTATGTACTATAATCTCTGGGATAGTGAGCAAGATCTATATCAGAATTCTTTATGGCAGCACATGGTAGAAATCACAATAATTCCAATGTATACAATTGGCATTATGGCGCTTTTCAATAAAGTGTGACATCATGATTGTATGATAATGATAAAAAAGGAATCTCAGAGATTCTAATAGTGAATCGGATTTTGAGAATCTATATGAAATTATATAGAATTGTATACATTTTTTATATACAATTATTTTTTTTAATCATGTTTGATCAGTGATCGATATAAAAAATAATTATTACATATTTATGATTTAATCAGTATAAAGCTATTTATTTTTATTTTTTTTTATATACGTAATACATTTCTCTTGATAAATAACTAAAATGGCCGATGTTCAAGAAACCAAATAAAGTATCGTCGAGGAGCTTGTTTTAGCTGCCGGATATGCATGTTTTGTGGAATTAATTTACAACAAGAAAAATGTAATTGCGACTTGTCTAATGTTCCAGATAGAAGTAACCGAACAGATACTGTAAAATACGCATTTACAAGAATCTTCAATCCGAATTGGATTAAAGAAAAAGTAGACTTTGTCCAGCGAAAAATAGAATACTATAATTATTTATTAAGTTCAGAAGAGTATTTTAATCTTATTTTGTGTGCTCGCTGCAATAGTAATTTGTTAAGATTATCCTCAAAAGCAAAAAAAAAAAAGTACAAAGTACTATAACTGATTCGGAAGTGAATACATATAATCTTACCATTCCAACTAGCGATACCTCTGATCCAGAAGAAAAATATTGGAAATCTAATGAAAAAGGTTATAGTGAGAAGAACTATGACGATGATGGATTTCTATCTGATTACGAAATTGAATTTGAATATACTTATGGGGTTTTTATTAAGTTGGAGAATGGAATGTCTCTTCCAGCAAAATGGTATACAACTAAAGTATTCACAGTTGATGAATTACTTTTAGAAATTCATTTAAATGTAGAAACTTTAACGGGCAAATCACCAATTGAACCAAATAATTATCGTGTTGCATTCAAATCTGAAAAGGCAGCAGGAGTGGGTACTCAACTTGTTGATACTCAAGACTTTAAAAATCTCAATCTGATTACCAAAAATATAAATCTAAAAGCCTTTTTTATAACATTTAACCCGAATATAAAACGAAAATTAAATGTAAGTATATTGATATCAATATGGTAATAAAATTTTATAATTTTATTAATTATTTATAAATAATATTTATTAGGATCTTGGATCTGATAATAGTTCAGATGATGAAATTATTAAATATTCGAGAAATAAAAACTCTATTCCTAAAACTTCAAGCTTATCATCAGCTAAATTGTCAATTGCAAGAAATGTCTTAGAGATCCGTAAAGAAAATCATTGTGCAATTCATAATCGACCATGTTTAAATAAGGATGGAGCTAAGGAAATCATATCGAAATTACATTTATGATGTTGTCAATTTGGGCAACAGAAATAGTATGTATATAATAGTAAATTTATAATCTATATATAGTAATTTATTTACATATTAATATATTAATATTTTTAAACATATTAAACATATAGAATAAAGCAATGACATCATCTACAGAACCACCTACACATCCTTTATTTATTTATAAATATTCATCAAAAACAAAAATCAAACACTATCACCAATTACAATACAACAATCTAATTCAATTCAACAATTGAATTCAATTCAACAATCTAATATAATGCAAGCTAATTCAATCCAACAGCCTAATTCAATTCAACAATCGAATTCAATTCAACAATCTAATATAATACAAGCTAATTCAATCCAACAGCCTAATTCAATACAACATTCTAATCTAATACAACAATTTAATTTATTACAAAATTCTAATTTAATGCAATATTCTAATTTAATATCACAACCTAATTTAATACAGCATTCTAATCTGACAGAATAACCTAATTTTATTTAGCAATCAATCTTTTCAGGCCAACATTATATGCCATCTCTAATTTACAATCCATTTTCAACATATATTCCTTCACAACTACCTTCCATAATTTTAATTGCAATAATACCATCTAATGAAAGTGCTGGTAAAACTGTATAGCATTTGCCACAAAGAAATACTACTTTTTTAACAGCCCTTGTATTCATTAAAGAATAACCATACTCTCGAGAAATAGTGTGTTCATCTTTTGATGATTCATCTAAAAAACTAATTGATTACTTTTATATTGAGAACCAATTCGGGCCATAAAGGCACTTTGAAGCAATTCATTACGTTCCTTTGCAGCTTTATGCAACTAAAATTTTTTTAAAAATATATTATTTATAGAATTAATTTACATCAATATAAATAAATTAAATACTTTTTTCCATGTTATTCCACAATAAGCTAATGAACGCCACATAGTTGAAATTGAAACAGTTTTACCACACTGAATTTCCATTTGTGAAATTATTTCTTCAAATATAGATCCGGGTTTTCTTGTATAATATTTCGTAACACCTGTAATATAAATTATAAATTATATAGAATTTTAATAAGTTATAAATACTATATAAGTTATAACAAATAATCTTCACCTACATTCATATTATCTCTATTAAAAGTTTTAGACCGTCCACGTACTTTCTGCCATGGATTGGTTACAGTTCCCCATTTTTTATATAGCCATAATACTTTTCTTATCAGACTTTCACTAACATAAAGAAGGTTCGCAACTTGTGTTACTGAATAATTATTATAATGTAGAGCAGAGGGCATGCTAACGAATGTCTTTTTAGCGAAGGTTTTTTTTGAAATTAAAATAGAACAATTATGTAACAGTTATGCTAACGAATGGTTTTTTTAGTGAAGGTTTTTTTTTTGAAATTAAAATAGAACAATTATGCAACAGTTATGCTAACGAATATTTTTTTTTAGCGAAGGTTTTTTTTTTGAACTTAAAATAGAACAATTATGTAACAGTTATGCTAACGAATGTTTTTTTAAGTGAAGATTTTTTTTTGAAATTAAAATAGAACAATTATGTAACAGTTATGCTAACGAATGTTTTTTTTAGCGAAGGTTTTTTTTTGAAATTAAAATAGAACAATTATGTAACAGTTATGCTAATTAATGTTTTTTTAAGCGAAGGTTATTTTTGAAATTAAATAGAACAATTATGTAACAGTTATGGTAATATACTAGAATCTATAAGATTCTCGAGAATTAAAAAATCCACTAGAATCAGCTGATTTTACGCAATTTCACATGACATCATGATCTGCAGATGTCACACTCTATTGAAAAGCGCTATAAGACATTTTATTAAATCAAGTTAAAAATCAAAAAATCATTAAAAATCGATTTTTTGCCCCTAGGTGGGTCATGGTGAAAAATCGGTTGAATTTAAAAAATCCGATGAATTAATGAAAAATCGACAAACTATAGTTACTAATAATGCTAATGCATTTTATGGAAGCAGTTTGATCGATTTTAATAATAATAAAATGGAAAGTCTAGAAGATCAATCCATTTATCTCTATGAAAATTTTAGGTAATAATATTTTATATCTAGAATTGTACTAGCTATTTTTTATATTCAGTATATACACATTTAAACTAATTTGCATTAAATAATTTTTAATTTGAATCAACATGACTAAACATTAAATGCCTTCCTACGTTTCGGACAATAGAATAACTTAAGCTATTTGAAAAATAGACAACGACCATGGAGTTTGACAACCCAGTATATGGACCCATATAGCAAAAGGGAGGATGGGCAAAAATTAGATTTTTTAATTTTATGATAATTTATTCAAATCAATCTAATTCTTCAAGATATGTAGTTTTTTTTTTAAAAAAAATTTTTTTTGGCCCATCCCCCTTTTACTGTGAGGTGCCCCATATAGTCTTGCATAGAAAATAAGAAATAATTGCCAATTATTCACTTTAATAGCCCATTGGCCAAGTTCAAAGATACCATATAGATCAAATATAAATAGTATTATTGTTTATTTTTCATTAATCAAATTCCTATAATCATCAAGCTTCCTCAAAAAGCTACAGCACACGTATTCCCCAATCATAGCAATAGTGAAGTCAAAGTGGCCAATCTTTGGAGATGAGACGGTTAAGTTAATGTAACCATTTTTCATGGTTATTAGTTCTGTAGTCAGATCAGAACCTAACTTGCGTACCACGAAACTTTCACCACGATGACAGCAAACATTTAAAAAAACTTTCGAATATTACTTTAAACTCCTTGACGATAAAGAAGTTTTTGGTGTAATTATTAATGCCGGAATACAAAGATAATTCGATGCATTCGGATGTTTCGAAATATAGGTCTCAACAACCCTCATAACGATAAAAGACTGATTTTTTCGATCGGACCCCAAAAAGTACGTTACACAAAATAGTGTTACATAAAATACGTACCATATTTTCAGTAATAAGGTTGCCAGGAATGGATGATAGATTTCAGATACACATAGTTTTAACCTGAGATACTCGTCGGCTGTTATATACATGTTTAATTTCATCGATTTCATCATCATTTACCTTTTTTAGAGGTCTAAGAATAAAATATTGTAGCAACATGATTTTGATATATGTTCGCACCGTCAAATTTCTCTACAAAAAAATACTCTGTGTATTTTTCACTTAAATAAGTTAGCAACATTAGTTAATCACCGCAAATAGAGCAAATTTGGGTGTCATAAACTTAAGTACATCGTTTTACTGTGTTAACGTACACACCTTGTAACACTGCAACACTAGTATGCACGTACAGTACGTACGTACGTGTGTGTGTGTGTGTGCGTACACCATAAATACTACAGGCGTAACATTCCATTTCACTTCTATTTATAATGCCAATTTTTCACATAGAACCGTCTATTTATAATTTCGCAAAATAATGGCTATCAAAGGTTTTCGCGAACGTGTTATAAGTTCTTGTGGAATTTCATTTTGTCTCGCAGTTGCAACAACTATTTATCTTTGCCTTACCCATCTAGATTATACAGAATTTAATCTTCTTAATTATAGCGCCTGCTACTATTTTCTTATGAAAGCATTGTATGGTAGTATTATCGCCCATATGATACCATCATTTTCAATATTTTATTTTTTTTTAATAATTGGGCTTTTATTTTTTCAATACGCTTTTCCTGATACTGGTGCAAACTATATTAAATTCATCCAGTTTTCTGATATGCTAAATATCTCAAACATTTCATTCATTATATTGGGAGTTGTAATTGGACTTTTATTATACTTGATTTTTCTAATCATCGTTATGGCAATTCAGTATCGCCTGTATTTTAAATGGTTAGAAAATAATTATAAGAATAATCCAGATGCACTTTATGACTATTTTCTCTATTCCAAATCATATACAATTTTTATTATAACATGTTCAATTTATCGCCCACTTAGTGCGTGCGAAGTTGAAATGATTGACAAGTGGATTAAATCACCTTACCTTAAAATTGAGTTATTTACTGACTATGAAAATCGTTATTTATCGAGCATTCAATTATCAAAAAGACAATATACTTTAACTTTTGCTGAGGCAATTTATAGACTAGCTTCTGAAGAATTTTTTATATTTAAAAATTTAGCGGATGATAATATACAAAGTACCACTATTGTAAGTGAAGAGTAAATTTTAAAATATCTTTGTTCTTATAATTTATTTTTTATAGTGGATATATATTATATGTAAAAATGTATTATCTTTCAATAAAATGTTGTTATTATAATTTACACATGCTAGTGCTGCTTTAAGCATCGATATTTCGAGAACAGCTAATTCATTTTCGGTGATCTTAGGCTTAAATAATCTTATTATTTATTATTTTCATTTAAAACTTAATTGAAATAGTTTATCCGTTCTCAAATTACGGATGATTATTTTCACGACCACTGTATATAATAAAACTTTAATAATGCCTAAATTAAATATAAAATTTGAAAATTTTAAAGCATCTTCACTATTAATTAAATGTCTACAAAAAATGTATAAAGATTTACACATAATATTCGAGAGTGCTTATAAGAAAGATTAATTATACAGTACATCGATGGATACAAATAATAAAATTAAGCATCATCATTTTAACAGATATTCCTTTATTAAACAACTTGAAATTAAAGAAAATAAGAAGCTTCATAAATAAATTCTAAAAAGTAACGCTTACAAAGAAGGGAAATACTAAATTCCAAAATAACAATCCAGCAGTCGATTGGGTCAAGCGACCATTGGCTTAAAAACTTATCGAGAATTTAATGTTAGCTCTAATACGTGTATTCATAATCGGTCATACGCTATTGAACAGTAGATATATTACACTACAATAATTAGTTATAATATTAGATAATCATATTAGAATTATTTATCAGCAGATGTTTAATTAATAAGTCTAAATATTTTATAATACTGATAATTAGCGAACCTTTTCATTTATATCAGAATAGGCATTATTTGTATCAAGGAGAACTTGCCCATTTATATCAGAGCAAACTTGACGATTTGTGTCAGAGCAAGCCTGGTTGTTTGTTTCTATGAATAGATCAGACATTTTTGCTTTCTGTCTTCTGGATCTTCGACATAAAATAATGCTTGCCACCAACATGCTAACAACAATGAAAGTACATATTGCACTGACTATTATTGGTATATTGGGACTGTTGTTTGAACTGCCATTTGGATTGCCGTTTGAACTGCCATTTGGATTGCTGTCTGGATCGCTGATTCCTGTATTGTTGTCTGGGGTGTCTGGGGTGTTTGCTCTTGGTATTATAAAATCCTTTAGCGTTGCACTGTTATTTGGATTGCCGTTTGGATTGTTGTTTGTATTTGAATTGCTTGTATTGTCTGGGGTGTTTGCTCTTGGTATTATAAAATCCATTAGCGTCGCATTGTCTGTATCTCTACAGATATCAAAAATTGCAATTCCTAACGCCTTAACTTGCTGTACAAAATCGAGTTTGGATTTTAATGATAGATAATCTTCGTAAGAAACGTAATAAAATCGTGTAGATGGATTTTGTTGTTTTAGGTAAATATATGGCTGCTGTGCTCTATTGTCAAAGCCACGTGTCCACGATAAAATGGCACTGTTATAACAAGGCGATAATAAATTAAGACTCAAATTTCTCCATGACCAAGAAGCATATGCCGAAACTCTACATGGATCTGAAATCATTTCATCAGAAAATGTGTATTGAATACTTGTTTCGTTAATAATTGTAAGGTTGTTATTAATGGTATCCATTGTAATATTATTAGAATTAACCAATTCAACAATGCCACCGAAGTCGATTCCCAAACCAAGTTTTGACATGCTGATGCTCCAAATATTAAAAATTTTCTGAATATTATCTATTCCAGCACTTGCATATTTGGTATTAATATTAAGATAGAATGCCTAAAAATGGTATAAATTAAATCAGTTATATTTTATGTGTCGGTCGACATATGATTTGCAAAGATCCATAAATTCATTGTTAAAAAAAAATTAAATCTACCTGAATATTTACAAAATTAATAATACTAGGATTTAAACCAGATATTGGATATCTGCCTGCTGTAACCGTTAGAATCTTATTAATTGGATTTAATTTCTTGGATAGATCAACTAGGAATTGTGTGAAAACATAATCTAAATAAGTAGTATTGAATTGCGTTGCTTGAAAGCATGGAAACTTATTCGGGTAGTCAATGTCAACCTACAACGATAAGTTAATTAGCAATTAATTACAGTATATCAGTATATTGAATAATGTTAAACAAAAAATAATTATTCTTACTCCATCGAACGAATAATCAGTAACAATGCCACCAAATCGTTTATAAATTGTTGGGCAAAAGGGCTAGCCAAATCATATTGTCCAGCAGAAATATTAACAAACGGAGGAAGTTTTTTTAAATTATCGTCAGCAGGCAACAAAACAGAAATAATTAACTATAAAAATATAAAATGGTAAGTTAACCATTACGATGATAAAAATTTTTAAAATTAAATATATATTTTTACTTTATAGTTCTGATAACTCTTATAACTTTTTAATTCTTGAAATTTATTATATTGATTTTGAAAAACTTTATATGGACTGATACCTTTAGTAAGGTCATATGGGCCAAATGCTATGAGAATTTTTTTTAATAAACTAATATTTAATTTAATAATTAGTAAATTAGCGATAATTAAACTTCACATACCCATATAATATAGATGAGTAATGGATGAACTAATTTTAAAATCTTCTGCTTTTAAATCATATTTATAAGCAGGATAATATCCAATGATTGTGCTTGGTGGTGAAGGTGAAGCCAATCCACAATCTTGACTAAAAACTCCATTATTCAAGGTTAATATTAAAAAAAGTACTATAAACTTACACAAAGAATTGATTTTCATAATTATTTAGAAAAATCCAAAATTTTAACTCTTGGCACTACCGATATTATAAAGTATGAATTTTGATTTGACTTATTGAGACCATCGGTATGTATTTTTTCGAACCACAAAAGCTAAATTTATGCACAAATTCTGTACGGACGTACGTATGTACTAGGGTGGTAACTCAACTAAGTAAATCAAAATTATGTGAGCAAACTATGGAATTTGTTCTATTGCAGAATTTTCACG